CAACGCTACACATAAAAACTGATGATGGTGGAAAACACCGAAACGTATTTTAATTGATAAATAGACAATAAATGACTGAAGCCCAGGAATTCATTTTGATTTGGAATTAATTTCACGTGCATGTGGAATACTTGGAAAGTTTTAGTGTTATTATTGGTTTTTCTGGTCCTTTTTCATTTGCTACTTCTGTTTTCCAAATAATCACAATTTGCAAAGCTTTTGGCCCCAACGCGTTTAATTGGAATAATGATTTTTTATTAGTTTTAATCAAGTTAAAGTTTTAGTGATTGCAGGAATAAACAGCGCATTATCTGGAACAGATGGGGCTTCACATGCAGACCTGCTTTTATGCACGGCAAATCCCGCAAACTGCCCAGTTCATACGAAAACTGCGACCAAACACACTTGGGCATTTTTCCACCAATACGAGCAGCTTCAAGATCTGATCAACGCCCTTAATAAGCGAGGCTATAGAGAAGGAGAGCTGAAAGAAACGCTCAAATCAGATTACAACGATTTAGTCAGAGTAATCAATCGAACACCAGTAGGTTCTCTTAACCCCAAGATGGAAATTAAGCAAGAGACACCAGACGACGATAAACCTGTTCGACTGAATGGATCGTTCAAGAAAAAAGACCGGCAAGTGAAACATTGACCTGAGTTGTGATTGATTGACTAACAGAGGAGTTTTTTTTTAGGTGCGTAGATGCGAACATGGGCTACCCAACGGAAATGAGCTCGGATGAGGTGCAGGAAAATGTCCTGATCGAGAACATCTTGGAAATGGAGGAGAAAATCAAGGTGGGATTCTTGGGAACAGTGAAATGTAAGGACCGAAACAAGTGGCGAAATTGTCTGCAAAATAAACACTACGATGAGTTCGAAGAACTCATCAAAAACTACTCACCCACTACAAAAGACCTGAAAGTCAAAGAACCCGATGAAGGTGGTGATAAAACATAGTTAAATCGAATCGATTAGACGATTTTCTGTTCTGTTGCAGAGCGAAGCAGATCGAGTACACCAGAGAGCGCCAACAAGGAAGAATACCGAGACCCGGGAAATTATCTCACAGCTACAATAGAATCAACCCACCTTGATGGTACTCCATTAATACAGTCCGATGCCACAAAAAAGGCAATTTACTGTCTGGCCAACGCTCTTAGTCACGTCGCACACGCCATTAAAGGAACATTCTTGAAAAGGCCTTTAGGTAATTTACTCTCCCGTAAGCAGATGATCCAAAGGGATCAGAAGACCAAACTTTTACTGAGAAAAAATGACAGTTGTTTAAAAAAATTTGAAATATCGGAAGAGAAGTACCTGTATGGACTTTGGACATATTTGGGTTCTTTGTAAAATCATAGTTTTCCTTTGGCGATCAATAGGCGGATTTGAGGAGCCCTATACATACCGTATGTACAGGGTTATTCACGCTATTCGGCACGGACGTTTGCGGGTAGCCCGTTTGTTTTTTGCAAAGTATTATTTGATGAATTCACAGACGCTGTATTTAAATTAATCAAGTTAGAGCCACTTAAAGTTCTTATTTGATTAGTTTAAATTTGTGGACACCCTGTATAACATGGTAAGTTTATTATCATTGGGATATAAAATATTATATCTTGTTACACTTCACTATAAATTACGCTTACATAACTTAAATACTTCTAAAGTATTTGACACGTGAAAATTAGATAAGATTTTGATTAAATTCGAGTTATTTAAAAAACCTTTAGATTTAGACATAAATCTTATTAAAACAAACACTTATTTTGCTCAGAGAATCCAAAAATGCAATAATATATAGGGTATTTCATTTCGAAAAAGACAACTCTGTACATTAGAAAAATATTTTTAAAACGTGCGCTCGATAGGCGTCTGTGGATTCATCAGATATTTTGCAAAAATAAACGGTTTAGCCGCAAACTTCCGTGCCGTATAGCGTGAATAACCCTGTATATACATACCAGTACCTAGAGAATTATTTATTATTTAGGTCACAACAGTCGATCAACCAGCAAGATGAAGGATTCGAAAGACGTGTTGGAACACTGGATGCAATCTCTTCTAGCCTCGACCAGTTTTAGCCAAATATTCTTGCACCTCGGCACGCTTGATTCGTGTGTGCAGTGGTCAAAATCAGCGCTCTTAGCGCGCTGCCGGATTTGCAGAAGGAAGAGCGACTCAGAAAATATGCTCTTATGCGATTCGTGCAACATGGGCCATCACTTGTATTGTCTCAAGCCAAAATTGAGCGTGAGTGAAATGGAGGAAACCCGCTGAGGCGAACAGTAACAAACGTTTCTCTACAGGCTGTTCCGCAAGGGGATTGGTTTTGCAGTCAGTGCCAAAAAGAGAAGGAAAAGGAGCAAAAATTGCTCAGTCCAGAACCAGTGGAAAAACGGCGGAGGATATTCGGCCAGGATGACGACGAGGAGGACGAAGACCAAGCTTCTGATGTAGGTTCGGAAAGTATGAGTGAAAACGATGATAGGTGAGTTGTTGGCGATCATCTTTTTCTGCTCCGGCTAACATTTTTCGTTCTCGCAATCTAGTGTGATACAGTTGGCATTGTGCAAAACATGTGGATCAGGAGGCGAGACTGTAGAGTGTGAAAAATGCGAATCTCACTTCCACAAAGAGTGCACGGAACCTCCGCTCAGAAGACTTCCCAGAATGCCGTGGACTTGTTTTGCCTGTTCGAGTCGCATGAAGCGCAACAAAGGCCGAGACAGATCAACTGATAATGGCTTTCACTCAGGTAAACTGCTTCAGTTCATTCAGTTGTCGTATTTTCAATGAAACATTTAACAATTTTGAGCAAAAGCTCAAAATTGCCTTCGTTTCCTCCACGACATCCAGCTATATTTAATCCGAAATAAAGTTGTGTTCCAAAGCGTAACTTTGTGAGGAAAAAGTCTGTTACTAAACCTGTGTTTTTTCACATAGACTACGAATACATGGCTGGATTTACATATAGCCAGAGAAGTTGTGCAGTGAAGGCCAGCCGCAAGATTCACGCATTTGCCAAGGCGCTGCGCGTTAAAAATTCTAAATCGCTCAGTTCTGAGGACGATGGTGGGTCGCGCAGTTAATCGCTTCGTTCTGCCTCATTGCTGTGCTTGCATGCTCAGTTTTCCTTAACCTGGCATCTTTTAATTTGAAATTGATTCTGTTTTGAATATAATTTACCTTCAAAAGTAAACGTCATTGTGTTTTTTGGGTCTATGTATATCCGAGTGTTGCTACAAATCCGACTCCTGTTTATATTGTTGAAAAGTTGAAAACTTATCAGACTATGAAGGCTTTCGCGGCCGGTCAAATCACATATAGAAATGATTTTCATGGGAATTTCTTCCTGACGTTTCGTCCACAACTGCGATGGGCATTATCAAAGGCGATGAGGCAGTGGGCGAAGTGATCTCCCGTGCTTTCCGACTAAGACTGGTTCAACCACTGGATCCCCTGTGGGACGACAGGGGATCCAGTGGTTGAACCAGTCTTAGTCGGAAAGCACGGGAGATCACTTCGCCCACTGCCTCATCGCCTTTGATAATGCCCATCGCAGTTGTGGACGAAACGTCAGGAAGAACTTTCCCAGAGACCACGGCTTCAAAGCCCGGAAAACTCCTAAATGTGAGTTGAAAACTTGTGTACATGCCAGGGTGGCGAACTGAACAGCCTGCTTTACGTGTTTATTTCATTTTTTCTTTAATTTGATTCTCCAAAGCTTCTTAATAAACGCCTGAGCTCAGCATCTGCTTCATTAATTTCACGTGCATGTGGAATACTTAGAAAGTGTTAGTGTTATTATTGGTTTTTCTAGTCCTTTTTCATTTGCTACCTCTGTTTTCCAAATAATCACAATTTGCAAAGCTTTCGCCCCAACACGTTTAGTTCATCTAATTAGATCATCTGCAATTTTCACTTGGAATCACTGTTTTCCTTAGAATCGTCATTCGAACAAGTCGTTAACAGGCGACCGTTTAGACGAGATGACCAAAGAGATGATCTGCCATTGCATAACGCCGCTCTGCAAGAGCTTCTTGCAGATGTTATGAAACATGAATCAGCGTGGCCTTTCCTCAGACCTGTTCAGCAAAAAGAAGTAAGTGAAGTAATTTCTAGCTTGGCAAGTTAAACGCGTCTTTTTCCCTATGAATCAGGTACCTGATTACTATGAAATAATCACTGAGCCGATGGACTTTGCCACGCTGAAGAACAAGCTAAATATGGGAAAATATAGTACGGATTCGCAGCTTATGCGCGATGTGGTGCTGATTTTCGAGAATTGCAACACCTACAACTCGCGAACTGATGAAGTTTACCAGTAAGTATAAATAGTAGTACATCAACAGGCCGATCAAGCATTTTGTGTGTCTCGTAGATGCGGCAAGCAGTTGCTAGAGTATTTTGCGAAAAAAGCTAACGAAGTGGGCCTGGTCGTACCTCCAGAGTTGGAATTTAGCGAGGGTGAAAATCGAAAGAGCAAGAAAAGGCGGACCAAGTAGTGTTGTTAGCAATTCCACGAATAAACTATTTATTAGTAAATTAATTACTCTACTCTATAACTCAATTTCATCAACGTGTTTGAGTACAAGTTTCCTTGATTTTTTAACTACTGGTTGTAGCACCCCACATTGTGATTTGAAATTGTTTACTGGCTTAGCAGTGTAAGTACCTGTACCATAAGTAGGATATATTTTTGCAAATAAAATTTACATCTTCGCTCTAGCATTGAGGTTGATCTATTGAAACACTTCATTTCTGATCTAAATGTCTGTTGATTTTGAACAAAAATAGAGCTATGTATCACAAATCTAAGCTGGTCTTTTATTCAAGTTCCATTGTCTCATTGGGGTTTTTCCATGTTCTCTAAGTTTTTCAAGATCTGGTCTATTGAGTAATCGACTAACTTGCTCTGCATTTCGGGTGTTATCGATTTTAATACTTCTCTGGTCACGTACTCGATGAGGTTTCGGTGCTGCACTTTTTGGCGCACCCCGTTAATGGCAACTTGATAGTCAAGCCGGTTTTTTACTTCTTCGTAAACTTGCATTTGCCTGAAATCCATCGCAATGGAGATGGTTCACAGATGCAGAAACTGTTCGTACCTTTTGCGATATTCTTCTTCGAGTTGTAACAGAACGTTTTCCCGTTTTGCCGCTAGAAGCAGTTCCTGCCCAGCCATTTGATATTGCCAATGCAACTCGTTCAAAATGTTTTCCTCCAGTTGTTTTTTCTCTGCCTCTTTAACTGTGTTTTTATCGTACTTCGTTGACCGAACTGATGTGAATAGACGAATGAATAGAGAACACTTACCATCCTCCCATTCCTTTTCAATAGCGTCGATGTGCTTATCTAGCGTTTGGCCTACTTGGGCTCCGTAGTACTTGATCCCAATAAACCACAAAAGCAACATGCTCAGACCGCCATAAAATTCGTGTTCCAGCACGTAGTATTCCTTGCTAACGAGAAACGTGCTGAAAGTGAACAGGAACACACCAAACCCAGTCACTCCGGTTTTCGGAATGAAGGCTCGCCACCATTCTTCTGGCACAAATGCGAACAAAACCTGGCAATTATATAATCAGTTATCATGGCCAGTTTCTGCCTGATTCTCTGCCTGATTGGTACCTTGCCTGGTTCCTGTCTGACTAGCCTTGGAGGTGCTACAGTTGACTCTTTAGATCCCCCGTCGGTGCCCCCTGCAGGAGCGCATTGGGGCTCTTTCGGCTTTGCTGGTTCAGGACAGTTGGTTGGAACTGGTGGGCATTTGCCTGATTCTTCCAGCTGGAACTTAGTGAAATTGTCGGACAACCAATCTGGGGAACCTGTTGGAGGATAGCAAAATACAAAATTACCAAACATGCTACTTCATAGCATTTATACCGGTTGGTGGGGCCAGTTGCTCTACACGTATAGAGCCGCATCTAAGAGCAGTAGCGCTGTTGCATCTAGCTAAGAATACTTTGCAATCCTTAGACAAACGGCTCTGAAGATTGGCATCTTGTTCCTTTTCAATCAAAACTTGCTTAGCCATTCGTTGTTCGAACTTGGCGCATTCATCAGAGTTTCCAGTCGCCAAATCTGCCGAATTTTCAAGCTGCTGTTCTTGTTTGAGAGTTTTGGATGTTTGGAGCAACGTGGCAGCATTTTTCGTGCAGTAAAACTTCCCCAAGTCTTTAAAAGGGGTTTTAGTAAGAAAAACTTTGAGTTGAGGCATGCCTAAAATGTCAAGCTCAACTGTAATGCTGACGTGCGTACTTTGACGCGCCCAGGGCGCGTTGCCTAGGCAACAAGTTTCCAAGCAAACATTTGATTGGTTTAGATCACTTGATTGGCGCGAATGCCTGTATCATGTTCCTGTCAGTAGTAGCGTTCAGAAGTGGTAAAAAATGTGTTTTCAGCATAAAGCAGTTTTATATTTTCAAAAATTCCTATAAAAATGTGTCCAGGTAGAAACAAAATGGAGAAAAAATTGGCAAATGCGCGAAGCTGCGCCTTATGTTATCAGAAACCACATTTTCGCCAAAAAGACCACAGAGAAAAGCACAAGGTGAGTCCATTGTTAACTGGGCAGGCCGAGGCCTCCTGTCTCTTAAAATTACCAAACACATTAATGAATTCAAGATTTCAATGGAAACTTTCACCGCTCCATGCACAGATCACAAAGGTTCTGTAATCTGTGGCTCCATGGTCCTGTCCTGGATGACAGGAAACTTAACCTTCGAATATTTTGGCATTTATTTGAACTTGTTTACGGAAAAAAAACTTAGCTAGTTTTAGCTAGTAACTTAGATTTTAGCTAGTAAAGTTCACGTTACACTTGTGGAATATGGATGTGAGTGTCTACGATGAAATTGTGAGCTTTATAGGGAACTTTAAAGGTTTGTCGAAAAACTGTTCCAAAAAACTGGAAGAACTGTTTCCCAGGTAAGCCGGCCTGCAGCATTTGAATCCTTAAAATTGCCCTTTCTGTTCGCTCAACCGCCGTGTTGTTTCAGCATAAACAGCGATACATTATACAGTATTTTGTGCAATGAGTATCAAAGGAAAATGCGTCGCATCTATGGCAAGACCCAAAACAACCGCGACTACTTTTGGAAGTTGTTCTGGGAGAAGATCGATCGCGAAAAGCCGGGAATGTTGGTGAAGATCGCTGAAGAGCATGAAATCCCTCCATGTTTGATTGCCAAGCTGATTTTGCAAAAGTACTACGAGGGCGAGGCGGATGAGGAGAACCTTGACAAAGAACCAGCTACCAAGCTGTACCTTTACCTAAAGAATACTAGCCTGATTTCGGATGGCCAATTGGCCCAAGAAATTTTCTTGGTGGGTTCTAACAATATTGCACGGGTGTAGGTACTTTGGGCCTTGCAACTAGGAATTTTTTTATCGTTAGTCTACTAACTTTTTGCCTGGGAAACTTCTCGTGTTCAAGCGTTATTTACTTAGCAAAACGTTAGGAATTTGGTTGTTTGAAGCTCAGTTATTTAGTCGACAAGCTTCAGGAATAATCAAAATTGTTGCAATAATCAATGTTTGCTTTCAGTGTACAGTTTACGATAGTTTGTACAGCCCATTGGCCGACATTATGAAAAAGTGAGTATCCCCAAATGTGCCTGGGTTACTCAATCCCGATGTTCCTTGCTTGGCAGGTCTCTTGGGCAGCAATACGAGATCCGTCTGCAGAAAGAGGCCACCCAGAGGGGTTTAGTCTTCCGCGATGAAGAATCGCTTAGGAAATATGGCTACGACAAAACTCCCGACTTAAAGCTGGAAGCCCCTGTCGCAGTCGATGGGTTTATCGTCAATTGGGTTGAGAGCAAAGCACTGTTTGCCGATGAAGACATCCATAAGGATTATATGAAAAGTCAGTACCTGAGCTATTGGAATAGGTGGGTGCTACTGTGTTAGACGACTCTTCATCTCCTATTAACTTGTGGCTTCATGATAGTTTTTTTTAGGTTTGGTTCCGGACTGATCATCTACTGGTTTGGATACTTAAAAACCATAAACGCATCGCCGGACAAGCGGTTTATTATTCGGGATCATTTGCCCGCCAATCTCACAACGATTCTGCCAGCCAATCAATCAATTATTCCCGATGAGATGAAGGAGCTGACGACACACCAGACAGTGTAGTTTTTGAAATTTAAAGCAATTTTTCAACGTGAATAGCAAAGAGTTAATGTGCGTACTGTTTAAGTACCTGCCATTAAAGGAGCTGTAATTTGCGCTGCAATAGCAAAAACAATAGTTTTTGTACTAGCTTGAGCACTTACAAGGGTCTGTTTCCGCGTTGTTCTATTGAAGCTCACTGAAGTCGTTCCTCCGTGCATTATCCAAAAAACCGATTTTTTGCACAATATTGGGCATCGTGCGTTTGGCCTGCAGGCCATTTAACTTAAAAATTCCCCATAATTAATGAATATTTCCGTTTAAACACTTTACGGGCTTCAATAGGTTAATTGCAGATTAAAGCGAATTAATGTATTTGACTTGTGAACCTCAGGAATGATCCTAAGATGCACTAGATTGGCTTCAAGTGTTCATTGAGCGAATTTTGCTAGGCACTAAAGAACAATGTTGTCTTTCGCAGCATTTGCTTGCTTTCCGCTTGTGAATTAAGCACTCAGGAATGTTTGATCAATCATTGTTTGCCACCCGCTATCATCAGCAGGCCAGATTACGTTCCATACAAACAAGCCACCCGGTCCAAAAACAGTTCATATCTACTGTCTTCAAATGACGCTGCCATTGCGGCTGAAAATCGTTAAAAACTTGTGTTTAAACCGTGTTTTGTAGCGTGCGAGCCGCTGGATTTGAACGGCCCCGGTATACGATTAAGTGCACCTTGCGTTTACTTGTAATTATTTTAATTCAGGTTTTTGCCGAGCTAACAGGAATCGAGTCAAGGATTATTTAGCCGTCTTCGAACATTGTTTTGAATACGGATTGTAGTCGAAGGCGCGCGCGAACCAACGAGCAGTGAGTCTCAGCGCAACCCCAACTTAATCTATTAATTAATAAACCAGGCAAATACAACAGTGGAAAAAAGTTCGTTCGGGTGCGAAAAGATAAGAGTGCGCGCTGATTGGACCGAGTTGACTTTCGAAAGTTGCCCGCTGCTGAACTATGGACATGGACAAGAAGCCCGAAGAGTTGAAAATCATCCACAGCCAACATGCCAGGATTTTAAAAGAGGTATGGTGGTTTGGATGGTTTTCCAGTATTTTAAGCTTTTTTTTGCACACACATTTTTTTACGACATAATTTATTGGTGCCTTTATATTGTGTTTGTAGAAAAACGCCCACTTTCCATTGTCTTTTCATGTTTTTTCGTATGTATAGATTTGCGGGTTGAAAGGGATAATTAGAGCTTTTTCTTCGCCGCTGGGGAAGCGCATTATAAAGGCCCAATTTCCAGCTTTTTATGGTCCATTTTTAGCCAAAAACTCAATAACTCTTCAGAGTTTACATATTAGTTTCAAAGTTTACAAAAAATCGTCAACTAACGAACCATTAAGACGGTAAGATACAAAGAGAAAACGATGCAAAGCGACAACTAAATGAACCAACCAGTTGCTTCTAAATCTTCAGAAACCCATAAATTGCCCAAAAAAAGCATTTGATTGAAGAAAGTAACTTTTGAAAAATTTCTTATAAAAAAGCCAGTCGCTAAAAGCTTTTGTTTCGCAGCAGTGGAAAGTGCAACATTTGCTCAATCAGCTGCAGAAATTATTATTTTCATTATCAATTTCAGCAATTTTGAAGATTTTTTGAAATTGGAGTCACGGCAATGCTGTTTGTGTCTGCTGTTTTATGGAATTCATTATTCAAAAATCCCTTGCAAAAAAGGCAAAGTTGCTAAAACGTTTTGCTTTGTAGCAGTAGAAAGTGCAACATTTGCTCCGTCAGGTGCAAAAATTGGCAATTTAACAATCAACTTCTGAAGATTTCAATAATTTTTGCATTTGGAGACTCAAAAGTGATATTTGCGCTTGCCACGCAATGAAAGTTATTTTTGAAAAATGTCATACAAAATATAGATAGTTGCCAAAGAGTTGACTTTTTCAGCAGTGCGAAATGAAGATTTGCTCCATAAAGAGCAGCAATTGGCAATTGAGAACTGAATTTGAGCAGTTTTAAATCAGTTTTGGAATTAGAGACTCAAAAAGTGCCATTTGCGTCTGCCACTTTATGAAACTAATTTTTCAAAAATTTTTTACAAAATAAGAAAGTTATTTTTCTAAAATTCCTTGCAAAAAAGCCAGATTCCCTAAAAGGTTTTGTTTCGCAGAAGTGGACAATGCAATATTTTCTCAATCAGCTGCAGAAATTATTATTTTCCTTATCAATTTCAGCAATTTTGAAGATTTTTTGAAATTGGGGTCACGGCAATGCTATTTGTGTTTGCTGTTTTATGGAAGTAATTTTTGAAAATTCATTGCAAAAAAGCCAAAGTTGCTAAAACGTTTTGCTTTGCAGCAGTAGAAAGTGCAACATGTGTTCCATCAGGTACAGATATTGGCAATTTAATAATCAACTTCTACAGCTTTTAATAATTTTTGCAATTGGAGAGTTATTTTTCAAAAATAGCATACAAAATATAGAGAGTTGCCAAAAACACTTTACGAAACTAATTTTTCAAAAAATTCTTGCAAAATATGGAGAGCTCTCAAAAAGTTTTGATTTGCAGCAGTGGTACGGTAAAAATTGCAATTTTGGGGGAAATTATGAAGAGCCTTCAAGGCAATTGAAGAATCTTAGATGTCAATTTTTCGTTAAATGTATGTGAAATGTTGGAAATGTTGAAGTTTTTCTAAAAGGCGTGTTGGTGTAGAAGTGAGGGCGAAAAACCCAACTCAACCGCAAATGGTTGTCGCTGTATTTGTGCGATATTTTCCGGAAAATCTAGCAACTTCATCAGTTGATAAACGAAAATTCGACCGATTGAATGCATATGAAACAAAGCTAGATTAATCCGGAAAACGCGAATGAAACAATCGCATTAATGGTTGAAAAGGCGGGCGTTCCAATATCATCCATAATATTTGCATGGATTCTAACAATTGTTCAAACAGTCCCGTGATGCACACTTTGTGCACTCGATAATTTTTCGCGTAATAAACGCAAACAGACTTATCTGTTTGGCTATGTAGACGTAATTATTTCTGTTTGCGCAAATTTGCGTCAAGCCAGTTTACAACCGGAGATAGACGAAAAAAAAACGTCTTTTCGGCCTCATTAACAGTCCATAAGGTCGAATTAAACAATTTGCCGCAACTCTCTTAATTGGCTGATTTTTCCTTGCAACGCGCTTCCTAATAAAAACGGTCATAAACTTGTGATTTAACAGCAATTTCCAATGGCAAAACTAAGCCTCACCTTGTTTCGGTGCAATTTTAAATCGTTTTATCGGCTTGCAATTGATACGAAACCATCTGTTTCCTCACACTTAATTGTCCGCTACAAGGCAGGTTTGCTCATAATCGAAGGTGCAGGGCAAGGAAATCACCATTGTTTATTGCATTGGACAATGAACAAATATGTTGTTAGTTAACTGGCGTCAATTTTTTAATTTTCTGGTCGAAGACAAACTTGTCTCGGATTAGGGTTTGAAAAACCTTGGGATAAAAACTTCTTTGCCAGACAATCGAGGTCCAAAAACCCATCATTTTTGCAAGTGTTTTGCTCGAAAACCATTTGGGATTAGCTTAGTGTACGCTGTCGAGTGAAACTACCCTGATGATGCTAGTTGCTCGAGTTGGCGAAACATTAATTTCTTCGACGGGCTAAAAGCAGGAAAAACCGACCCATGAGCCATGAGCGCGAAAGTCTTTCGCTTGTTGTCTCAGTAAACATTTGGTGAAATAATCTTCTAAATTTAGCTGTTGTGTTGTGTGTTAGCTAAAAAGTCGATATTTTCTCATGCAGCTATTTTTGATGTGCACTTTACACACCTACAGACAAAAAAGAAGATTCAAGTTTCCGGATGACTAATAGTTATTTAATTGAAGTCCAGGTGTTTACTGAATTGAACAGTGGCATTTTAAACGTTCTTTGATCGTCACTTTGCCATCATTAAATTGCTTTTATTGGCCGAAAATTGCCACTTTGTGTGTTGATTGGAACATTCAATCATTAGCACCCGCAATGTGTGTTATTTCTGGCAAATTCACACATAAACTGCGCGTTTTCTACACACAAAAACCATTCATAATTCCATTCCAGTTGAATTTTGTTGTTTTGAGAGACGTTTTGTGTTTTTAGGACGAGGAATTTTGGATTTCCAGCGAGGATTTGAACACGGAGAACAGCAGCGACGATGACCGTTCAAAAGCCAAGCACGCATGCAAAAAGAAGCTCAAATTGAAAGACCGAAAACGCTCTTCGCCCAATATTCGACTGCAAAGGCCATCGATTTCTTCCGTTGCCAGCACATCAAAAGCTTTGGGTTAGTGGGTGAAAAAAACACTTTTTTAGCCAATTTGCCGGTGGGATTTTTGCCATTTATCTTAATGTTTCAATCAGGGGGGATTTCCAAACAGGTACAGCGATGCATTTTAAATTGGCAACGACTCTAAAGTGCATTCATAAATTCCCCTGCATGGTAACACCGCAAGTTGATGAGAGGATTATTGATAAGTGCATTGGAAAATTCAATTATTTGCTGTCTATTTAAGGCAGTTTCGCTTTGCGTGGCTTTGCGTGAGTCACTTGTTCGCTGTTTAATCAAATTAAATATTTTGCGCCAATTCGCGATGCAACTATAGATTGCGAGTGTCCCAAAAAGCCTAAAAGTATCAAAGTTGTGTTTTTCTAAATGAAATGCCCCATATATTATTGCATTTTTGGATTCTCTGAGCGCGAAATAAGTGCCTGTTTTAATAAGATTTATCATGTCTAAATCTAAGGGTTTTTTCAATAATTCGAATTTTATCAAAATCTAATATTGTTTTCATGTGTCAAATACTTTAGAATTATTTAAGTTATGTGAACGTAATTCGTAGGTTGGTGTAACCAGAAATCCTATTTTATATCCCAATGATAATAAACTTACCATTTTATACAGGGTGTCCACAAATTTAAACTAATCAAATAAGAACTTTAAGTGGCTCTAACTTGATTAATTTAAATACAACCCCATATTTTTTAGCTTACTGGGAAATGCAATTTTTAATTACCTATCGAATGGTTCCAGGATGTTGATAACTAAGTTTTTGCCTTTTTACAAAATACACCAAATAATGGTTCTGTGCGCCATTTGGTGTTTTTTTTTAAATTAAAAGAATAAATAACATATCAACAATACCATAAAAGCGAGGCAAATTAATTATAACAAGTGTTCGAAATGTTGGCCGTCCATTTTCAGGCATTTGTAAATTCTTTTTTCAAAACCACTGCTAACTCTGGACAACATTTGAAGTGTGACTCACGGACAACGTGTGAAGTTGTCGGAAGCGTATGGTAGACAATTCCTTTTATGTACCCCCACAAAAAGAAATCCAGTGGAGTTAAGTCGGGAGATCTGGGGGGCCAATTTTCAAACCTATTTCTGCCAATCCACCTGTTTTGAAAGTTGGCATTTAAAAATTGCCGAACTTTGCAGTGATAATGAGGCGGAGCTCCATCCAATTGAAGCCACATGTTGATTCTAATATTGAAAGGGACTTCTTCTGATAATATTGAGAGATGGTTTATTAGAAACTGGAGAAACATCAAACCATTTAGATGTCCTTCAAAAAAATAGGGTCCAATTAAATATTGGCCCAGTATTCCACCCCACACATTAACTGACCACCTATTTTGTTTTTTCATCACCCTGTATGCGCGCGGATTTGCATCAGAATAATAATTAAAATTGTGTCTATTCACGAGACCATTGTTATGGAAAGTACATTCATCACTAAATAACACATTTTCGAAAAACTTTTCATTTTTTGCCACTTTATCTAACAGCCACATGCAAAACTCAGTTCGGTTTTCAAAATCATTTCCATCAAGTTCTTGGCAAAGCTGAATTTTATAAGGATAAAAGTGGTGCTTTTTGATAATTCTGGA